TCGGCGGAGGTAGCAGGAATTTAATGGGAGGCAAGGATCCAGCGGGTGCTGGGGATCCCATCCCGGGCTCCTCCCCATGGCGGGGGCCCATTCCCCGGGTCCCATGGCGGCCCCGTGTCCTCAGGCAGTGAGGGCGCTGAGCCGGTCCTGCAGCAGCAGCAGCTCCTCCGCCAGCCCGGCCGGAGACGGAGCGAAGCGCCCGCGCTGCGGCAGACAGGGAGGCACATGGCGGGGAGAAAGGGGGGATGTGGGGGGGGATGGATGGACATGGGGTTGAGTGGATGGGTATGGGGGTGGGTGGATGGACATGGGGTTGGGTGGATGGGTATGGGGGTGGGTGGATGGACATGGGGTTGGGTGGATGGGTATGGGGTTGGGTGGATGGACATGGGGGTGGGTGGATGGACATGAGGGTGGGTGGATGGACATGGGGTTGGGTGGATGGGTATGGGGTTGGGTGGATGGACATGGGGTTGGGTGGATGGGTATGGGGTTGGGTGGATGGACATGGGGTTGGGTGGATGGATATGGGGTTGGGTGGATGGACGTGGGGGTGGGTGGATGGACGGGGGGGTGGGTGGATGGATATGGGGTTGGGTGAATGGAGAAGGGTTGGATGGGTGGACAAGGGTTGGATGGATCGATAAGGGTTGGATGGATGGATGGATAAATGTTGGATGGATGGATCCAGGGTTGGATGGATGGATAAGGGTTGGATGGATGGATGGATGGATGGATGGATGGATGGATGGATGGATGGATCCAGGGTTGGATGGATGGATCCAGGGTTGGATGGATGGATCCAGGGTTGGATGGATGGATAAGGGTTGGATGGGTGGACGTGGGGTTGGATGGGTGGATAAGGGTTGGATGGGTGGATAAGGGTTGCATGGATGGACGTGGGGTTGGGGGGTGGACGTGCGGCTGGGCCATGCCCTGGTCCCCCCCGTGCGCGGTACCTGAGCCTCGGGCAGCCCCCGCAGGTAGCAGCGTGCCCAGAGCCGCACGGAGGGGCCCGCGGCGCAGGGCAGCAGCAGCCCCAGGGGCGGCCGCCCCCCCCCCGGCTCCCCCAGGCTCTCCAGGCTCGGGGCCCAGCGGGAGCGGTGCGGGGGGGGGCGGCCGCCCCTCCAGGGCAGGGGCTGGGCTGACAGCGCGCCCTTGGTCAGCAGGAACACGGGCCCGGGCCCCGCGCCCGGCCAGGGGCTGGCAGGCTGGGAACAGAGAGGGAACAGGGATCGGGGGGGGGGAAGCCAGAGGGAACGGGGAATGGGGGCAAAACCTGGCATGGGGCAACTCCGGGGGCACACACGGCACCAGGAGGGGGTTCAGGGCCAGGGGGACAGGGCTTGGGTCAACCTGCTCCAGTGGAAAGATGGATGGACATGGGGTTGGATGGGTGGACATGGGGTTGGATGGGTGGACATGGGGTTGGATGGGTGGACATGGGGTTGGATGGTTGGACATGGGGTTGGATGGATGGACATGGGGTTGGATGGGTGGACATGGGGTTGGATGGGTGGACATGGGGTTGGATGGGTGGACATGGGGTTGGATGGTTGGACATGGGGTTGGATGGATGGACATGGGGTTGGATGGGTGGACATGGGGTTGGATGGGTGGACATGGGGTTGGATGGGTGGATATGGGGTTGGATGGGTGGACATGGGGTTGGATGGGTGGACATAGGGTTAGGTGAATGGGCAGAGTTTTGGGATGGATGGACATGGGTTTGGATGGGTGGACATGGGGTTGGATAGGTGGACATGGGGTTGGATGGGTGGACATGGGGTTAGGTGAATGGGCACAGTTTTGGGATGGACGGACATGGTGTTGGATGGGTGGACATGGGGTCCTGGTGGATGGACATGGGGTTGGATGGGTGGACATGGGGTTGGATGCATGGACCTGGGGTCTTGGTGGATGGACATGGGGTTGGATGGGTGGACATGGGGTTGGATGGATGGACATGGGGTTGGATGGATGGACATGGTGTCCTGGTGGATGGACATGGGTTTTGATGGGTGGAAATGGGGTTAGGTGAATGGGCACAGTTTGGGGATGGATGGACATGGGGTTGGATGGGTGGATGTGGGGTTGAATGGGTGGATGTGGGATTGGGTGAATGGACACAGTTTTGTGATGGATCAACATGGGGTTGTATGGGTGGACATGGGGTTGGATGGATGGACATGGGGTTGGATGGGTGGACATGGGGTTGGATGGGTGGACATGGGGTTGGATGGATGGACATGGGGTTGGATGGATGGACATGGGGTTGGATGGGTGGATGTGAGATTGGGTGAATGGACACAGGTTTGGGATGGATGGACATGGGGTTGGATGTGTGGGCATGGGGTTGGATGGATGGACATGGGGTTGGATGAGTGGACATGGGGTTGGATGTCTGGATGTGAGATTGGGTGAATGGATATGGGGTTGGATGGATGGACGTGGTTTTGGGATGGATGGACATGGGGTTGGACGCCAGGGGTTGGAGCTGGATGAGCTTTAAGGTCCCTTGAACCCAACCCATTCTAGGATTCCATGCAGAGCACCCCAGATCCACCAGGAGGGCAGGAGGGGGGTGTCTCATGCAGCACGTGGGTGCCCTCCCCATGGAGCAGCCCCCCAGAGCCGAGCCCTGACTCACGTTGGGCTGAGGCTCTGCAGTGCCGGGGGTTCCCAAGGCAGCTCCCGCCGGGTTCCGGAAGCGCTCCCGCTGCTGCCGGCTGTAGCGCAGGCCCCATTCCCAGACCTCCGGCAGCACCGTGGAGCCAGGCTCCCGGCCCCCGCTCACCGGGTGGTAGCTCTGGCTGCGGGGCCGGTGCTGCAGGGGGGAAACGGGAGCTTGAGGTGGGAGCAAGCCCCAAGCTGGGAAACTGAGGCACAGAGGGATGCGGCCAAGCAGGCTCCATCTCTGAACCCAACCCATCCCTGAACCCGACCAAGCAGGATGGGGAGGATCCATTCCAAACCCATCCCTGAACCCGACCAAGCAGGATGGGGAGGATCCATTCCAAACTGATCCCTAAACTCAGACAAGTAGGATGGGGAGGATCTGTCTCCAAACCCATCCCTGAACCCGGCCAAGCAGGATGGGGAGGATCCATCTCTGAACCCAAACCCATCCCTGAACCCGACCAAGCAGGATGGGGAAGGATCCATTCCAAACCGATCCCTCAACTCAGCCAAGTGGGATGGGGAGGATCCATCCCCAAACCCATCCCTGAACCCGACCAAGCAGGATGGGGAAGGATGCATCCCCAAACCGATCCCTAAACTCAGCCAAGTGCGATGAGGAGGATCCATTCCCAAACCCATCCCTGAACCAAGCCAAGCGCGATGGGAAGGATCCATTCCAAACGGATCCCTAAACTCAGCCAAGTGGGATGAGGAGGATCCATCCCCAAACCCATCCCTGAACCCGACCAAGCGCGATGGGAAGGATCCATTCCAAACGGATCCCTAAAAGCCAAGTGGGATGAGGAGGATCCATCCCCAAACCCATCCCTGAACCTGACCAAGTGCGATGGGAAGGCTCCATCTCTGAACCCAAGCCCATCCCTGAGCCCATCCAAGCGGGATGGGAAGGCTCCACCTCCAAGCCCATCCCTTCAGCCCGTTCCTGGGGCCTTGCTGCGGTGCCCCCCCCTCACCAGGCTGCCGTGGCCCCGCTGCCGCTGGCAGCTGAAGAGGAAGGTGCTGAAGTAGGGGGTGAAGCTGCTGTCATGCAGGGCCAGCAGATAGGCCTCGGTGAAGCCGAACGCCGCCGGGAATTGCCGCACCAGCTGCCACGTGCAGTCCAGGAACAGCAGGAAAACGGGAGCCTGGCAATGGGGGGACCCGCATTGGTCACACAGCTCCCCCCATGACAGGGGTGGGTGGTGGGAAGCAGGGGGGGCCTCACCTCCTCCCAGGGGCTGTCACAACGGAGGAGCCCCAGCCGATGGGGAAAGGGGTGTCCGGCTGCCACCCATTCCCGCTGGAGCAGGCTCTGGAAGCCGGGAAGGGTGCGGGAATGGGGGTCCCCCAGGAGCTGCACCAGCGAGGCCAGCAGGCAGTTCAGGTCCCGGTCCGACGGCTCTGGGGAGGGGTGAGGTGATGGGGGGGGGTCCCCACCAGTGTCCCCCCATGCCGGGGCTCCTCATGGAGCTACCTTGCAGGAGCACAGTGCAGCGTCTCCCCGCCAGCAGCGATGCCACCTCCACGGCTTTCCTCAAGCAGCTCCTTAGGGACGGAAAGGGGGGGTCAGGGCACCCCAAAATGGGTCCCTGTGGGCACTGTGATCACCCCACAGACAGCAGGTTTGGGGGCGGACACGCTCCATCCATCGTGGGTGTTTCGAGTGCGCGCCCCAGGAGCTGAAGCCCCCCCGTTGCCATCACTCGCTCACCGGACGTGGTCCAGCCACCGCGTCCCCTCCAGCGCCGAGAGCCACTTCTCCTCCGCCGCGGCGCCTGGGCGGGATGGGGGGGTCAGGACCCCCATGGTCGGGGCTGGGGGGACCCCGCTATTGCCCCCCCCCTGCTCACCGGGCAGGCAGAGCGCCCGCAGCTTGAGGTGTGCGAGCTGGATGTCGGCCGGGCCGGGCAGCTCCGCGGTGCGCACCAGCACGCAGGGCCCGCGGCCCCCCAGCAGCAGCGCCTCCAGGCACCTGCGGTGGGGCACAGGGACCCCCGGGTGGGGACGGGCTGGGGGCAGCATCCCCAGGACCCCCCCCCCTTCTCCCCCGTCGGGACCCACCTCGCGTCCTCGCTGCCCGGCTCCGACCCCGCGTGGAAGGCGGCGGCTCTGAGCAGGGCGCTGCCGCCCGGGTGGTGCCAGCAGAGGCGCTGTGGGACAAACACGGGGACCCCCCCCCCATTGTCACCCCCCAAACCCCTTCCCAACACCCCCCCAGCGCCCCCCCGCCGCACTCACGGGCACCCGGCGCTCCTCGAAGTGCGCGAAAAGCCTCTTGAGGTCGTGGTCCAGGAGCCCGCTGGGCACCCACAGGTACCGGGGGAGGCTGCGGGCGTCCCCCCCGTCCCGTTATGGGTGGCGGAGGGAGCGCGGGTGCTCCTGTCCCGCCTTGGTTTGGGGCCACAGCGTGTGCGTGTCCCCAGCACGCACCTTGGGGCCATGTCGAAGCGCTCATTGACGGCGCTCACCCTCCAGCCTGCAGCTCCCTGGCGCTTCAGCTCCTTCTCCCAGTCCCGCAGGCTCTCGAAGAGCAGCGTGGCAGAGGAGCCGTCCTCAGACTCCTCATCCTCCTCATCCTCACCCTCGTCATCCCCCGGCCGGGCTCCATCACATCCCTCACCTGCATCCCCCAACCACGCAGCCTCCTCCCGCGCCTGGGCAATGGCGTTGGCGACCTGCAAGGAGCAGGAATGGGGTTGAGCCCCCCAAAGCCTCTGCCCTGGAGGCTGTGGAGCACCCCAGGAGCCTCCCCGCCATCACCACCGCATCCCACCCTGCTCACCCGGAACGCCTGCGGAGCCAGCCCGTTCTCATGGAAGTGGAAGCGGAGGAGGCGGAAATCCCGGCAGAAAAGGGCCAGCTCCTCTGGGATGAACTTGAGCGTGGAGGCGCCCGTCAGCACCTTGGGCTTGGTGAAGCTGCTGGCTGAGGGGTTGAGACGGGGTCAGTGCGCGCTGAGACCTGCCCGACTCATCGCACGGGGCCGCCGTTACCTGCCACCAGCTTGCGGATGCAGGGAAGCGCCACCTCGTGCTCGCTGGGCAGGAAGGGCCGGGGGGAGCCGGGGCCCTACGGGAGAGGGGGGAGAGCTGGAAGCTGCCCCCTGGGAAGGGCGAAGGGGCCGGACCCGGACCCCGCTGCCCTGTCCCGGCTGGAGCTGAGCCCTTGACCCCCCCCTCCCACTGAGTCCTGCAGCGAGGTGAACGCAATGGTCCTGCAGCCGGTGAGGATGGATGGGGTCCGGGATGGGGCTGGGATGGGGCTGGGGTGCCACTGGGATGGGGTGGTGGATGGGGCTGGGATGGGGTCAGGATGGGGGAGGGAAGCTGTGGAATGGGGTCCGGGATGGGGCTGGGATGGGGATGAAGCACGATGAGGGTTGGGGTCCCCTGGGCCGGGCGGGGGGCGGGCGGCAACGCGGGGTCCCATTCCCTGCCCCACTCCCTGTCCCTTTCTCTGTCCCTTTCCCGTTCCCTGTCCCGTTCCCTCTCCCGTTCCCTGTCCCGTTCCCTGTCCCGTTCCTTCTCCCGTTCCCTCTCCCTTTCCCTGTCCCGTTCCCTGTCCCTTCCCGTTCCCGATCCCGTTCCCTTTTTCTTTCTCTTTCCCGTTCCCGGCCGCACCTGCGCGGGCACGAACGCGACGCGGCGGTTGGTGCAAAGCAGCGTCCCGGGGACGGAGCCGTCGCTGCCGCAGCGCTGCCGCGCGCCCGCCGCCTCCTCCAGCACCAGCTCCCCTGCGGGGAAGGCCGCTGGGTGCGGGGGTGCCCAGGGGCAACGCGGCCCCCCCGAACCCCGCGGCCCCGGCCCCGGCCCTACCTGGGAGGCCGGGGAACGCCGGGCGGCGGCCGCTCATGGCGCGGGGACTTTGCCCGGGCGGGCCCGGAGCGGCGGCGGCAGCGGAGCAGCCCCGGGGCCCCGAGCGCTGCCGCCTGCCCCGGCCCCAGCTCCGGCTCCGGTCCCGGCCTCCCGCCCTCCGCGCCCGGGGCCCGGCGGGGCGGAGCGGCGGCGGCGGCGGCGGCAGAAGGGCAGCGCTGCCAGCGCCCAGCCCGCGCCCTGCCCGCTCCCTGCCCGCTCCCTTCCCGCTCCCTGCCCGCTCCCTGCCCGGCCCCAGGCCATTCCCTGCCCGCTCCCTGCCCGCTCCCTTCCCGCTCCCTTCCCGCTCCCTGCCTGGCCCCAGGCCATTCCCTTCCCGCTCCCTGCCCGCTCCCTGCCCGGCCCCAGGCCATTCCCTGCCCGCTCCCTGCCCGCTCCCTTCCCGCTCCCTTCCCGCTCCCTGCCTGGCCCCAGGCCATTCCCTTCCCGCTCCCTGCCCGCTCCCTGCCTGGCCCCAGGCCGTTCCCTGCCCGCTCCCTCCCCGCTCCCTTCCCGCACCCTGCCTGGCCCCAGGCCGTTCCCTGCCCGCACCCTGCCTGGCCCCAGGCCGTTCCCTGCCCGCTCCCTGCCCGCTCCCCGTCCACAAAGTGGGAAGAGCCCCTGGCCTCCGGCACCCCGGAAGGATGGGATTGGAGGCGGATCCCATAGCCCAGGGCACCCCTCAAGGGATGGATGGTGCGGGAGGGGGTACGCACAGCACCCAGCACCCTGTGGGGCAGGTTGGGGTGCATACAGCTCCCAGCACCCCATAAGGGATGGATGGTGCAGGTTGGGGTGCATCCAACAGCGCCAGGCCCCCGGAGGTTTGGACGCTGCGGGATGGGGTGCACCCAGCACCCACAAGTGACGGTGCCCACCAGGCCCCGCGCGGGGCAGGGCTCCCCCCGCGCCGCTCCGTGACTCAGCGCCCAGGAACGGGTTCTCCTCCCAGCCCGGAAACAGCAGCGGCCACCGGCGCCGCGCCAGGGCCGAGCGGCCCCGCTCCCTGCGGCCACCCCCAGCGCCATGGAACCCCCAAAGCGCGCCCAGAGCCCCCGGGCTCAGCTCCTGCTGCGCAACACGGGGTGAACCCGGAGCCAGGCGCGGGTTTGGGGGCGGTTGACCCCAGGCTGCTCCCTCCTGCGCATCCCAAAGGAGCGTGGCCGAGTGCCTGGATCCGGCACTGGGAGATGGGAGGAATTGCGTGCAGGGACTGGAGCCAGGGCTGCTCTCCAAGGGCAGCGCCGGCTCGGGGTCACCCCGGGACACCCCGAGAGCCGGCACCGGCACAGACGTGGCGCTGGGAGGAAAGGAAAACCCTGGGAGCTGGGATAGAGAATTCCAATGAAAAGAGCCGGTGGGAAAGCGCTCCGGGCTCCCCCAGCCCCAAAAGAATTTCCATTGCCCCGGGATCTGCGTTTCCAAGCAGCCCCCAAACACAGCCCCAAGGCTGCGTTCATCCCGGTGAATTTTCCTCTTTCGGAAGCATTTAAAGCTTCAGCATCCAGCAAAAGGGCTGGATTTCCTTGGGAATCAAACCAGCTGAAGCCTCCCCTGCAACTGCAGCCAGGAAAAGGCTCTTCCAGATCACAAATGATGATGAGGGGAGGTTTGGGGGGGGAGGGTGTGCTTCTTTAAATGAAAGCCTGATTCTGGTACCTAAAGAGCCAGAATCTCTCATCCCCAGGGAGGATGCTGCTGCCCTCAACAGAGGAGAAGAAACCCCACTGATGTGATGGGGGGGATGAAGAGCAGCCCCAGGGCAGGGGACTGGGACCTTTCCCACTCCCACTGGGGCTGAATTCCCGGGATGAAGGGAAGGAAAGAGGCACGGCTGCTGCTCAGGACTTCGTTAGTTGAACGTGGTTTATTGTCAGTGAGTCTATGGTAACACAAAGGAAGGATGCAGTGTCCAGCCCGCGCCGCGCCGGCCGCTGCTCCCGAGGAGGAACAAGGACAGAAATCACCAACCGAGGCTTTCATTGACCATGGAACCAAACGGGCGAAAATGCAGTATTTTGGTGAATTAAACGATTGCAGAGTTAATTCAGGTCACTTTGTGCGGGGTCAGGGGGAACCAAAGCATCCCCTCAGCCTTCCCCAGGGCGATCAGTGAAGGCAAATGCTCCTTCACGCAACTCCAATGCTCTTCAATGGGGTTTTCCCACACCCAGGGCCTGATGGCACTAAGGTTCCTTCCAACCACACCATTAAGTGCACTTAAAGTCAGGTCACAGCCTCTCCCATGGGAGAAACCCCTCCTTAGGACAGGTTTGGTGCTTTTCCTCCAGGAAAGGCGCTTTGGAACACGAGCTGCTCCCTCCCCATTGAATCCCACACTGGTGCCAGCAGAAACACCCAGTCCCACGCTGGGAATCATGGAATGGTTTGGGTTGGAAGGGACCTTAAAGCTCCTCCAGGACACCTTCCCCTAGAGCAGGTTGCTCCAAGCCCTGTCCAGCCTGACCTTGGGATGGGGCTGAACGCACCGCAGGGGTGTTCCTGAATCCATGGGGAATATCTTCTGTCAATAAATAGAGTTTGTATTTAATAATCCCTTAAAAAAAACAAAGAAAGAGGAAGCAAAAATTCCAAGTTTCACCAGAAAGGAAACAAAAATGACCTGAAAAAATCCTTTGTGGTTCTGAAGGTGCCACTGGTTTAGCTCAACCCAACCGGGGCTTGGGGCTCTTGGGAACAGCCAAAACCCTGCTCTCCATAGGAACACCCTCTGCAAAGGTTTGTCCCCAGCACCAGAGCCCCACTTGGGTCATTTTCTGACCCAAATTCCAATAACTGCCATAAAACCCAGGTGGTCCCACGGGATGGGGACACATTCGTACCCGTATCCCGGCCTCAGACCTCCGTACAGTCAAACCTCACCAATATGAACACAGAGCACCCGGCCCAACTTGATTTACCCCCCAGAACTCCCCCTCAGGAGGAGGAAGAGTGACAGCAGCTCCGGTAACATGGGATTTGGGATGGTTTTCCCCTAGGATGGATTCCTGCTGCTGGGATTCGCTGGGTTTCCCCCTTCAAGACAATATTCCTCACAACTCTGTCACATGGACAAGTTAAAGCAAAGCTCCCCTAAACCCTCACTGCTTTACCAGCAGCACTTTGCTACCATCAGAGGCCAGGAGTATCATCACGAGCAGGTCCAAAAATCCCCACCACACAAGCTTCAGCATCCATCAGGATGGGGTCTCCCAAGAAAAAGAGGGATTCCACTCCAAAACAACAGGAATCTCTTGGAGGAAGGGGTCTAGAAACCAAGTGACCCCCCTATACAGTGAGATTTGGGGTTTTCTATGCCTTAATATTTGGGGTGAAGCAAGAGATTGCTGCAGGGCAACCGCAGCGCTTAACCGGTGCTCCACATCCTCATCCCTGTGATGGAATACATCGGAATTCCTGCAGTTTGCAGGAAAACCCTGGCACAGAGCCCTCAGTATTTAATACCTGTTCCTTCTGCATTGCGCTGGGCAAGGCTCATTGACACTTGGGGATTGAATAAACCCAAAGAGAACTGCTTCAATCACAGCTCAACCCTCACCAGGATAGAAGCTGTTGACAAGCAGCTCCCATGGCTTGATCCAATCCAGCAGGACCACATTCCCGCATCCTCCTCTACAAAAGGCCTTCATTGGGTTCTTTAGCCACATTAAACTGTAAAACGTGTAGGTTAGAGCCAAGCCTTGGGGTACTTGGGAGAATAAGGCTTCGGGTGATTCCCCAGTGCTAAGTACACTTTCGCCTCCTCTGCCTGGCTCTCTAAGCCCTTATCACCAGGCTGGGCAGTGGGTTAGGAGGGATTTGCATAGTTTGATGCCTTCGGACAAAACAACCCCAAAAACAGAAAAGGGGGGAATGTTGTAAAGCTCTGATCAGTTTCGGGCAGGGTTTATTCCCTGCAGGAAAACGCTGAGCCAGGATGGAGGCGGGAGCTGCAGTTCCAAACCTAACCCCAAGGATGTGTGCAAACATCGCAGTGCTCAATGCAACCCACCCTGCGAGACGGGAGCGGGGCTGGGATGGGATGGGGGGGAGAAAGGGATGGAGGGGACCACATGAAGCGTGTGAGCGAGTTAAAGGTTTGCTTGGACTTCAGGGTTCACTCTTTTTTAGCCCTATTATCAAAAATATCCTTTAATATTCCTCAGCCTAAGGTCAGTTATCGTGGCTCAGCAAAATGGAGCCGAGTTAATTTGATTCAGCAGAACGGAGGTAGTACAGAAGTAGCTCAAGTAGAAAGAGTTATCGCGGGGGGGCTGTGTCCACGGACACTTGTGGATTTACCTCCCGGCGCTCCGGGATGCTCCTTGTCCTCTCCCACTTCCCCACACCGATGGTTATTGCTGGCTGGAGACACTGACCTTGGTTCTCGTCTCAATCCTAAGCCGGGGCGGCCGTAGCGCGGACACAACGGCTTTGCACAGTACTTCTGCAGGGAAAAGAAACTCAAAACCACTCGAGCACTGTGAGCACCCCCCTCTGTCGTTCCCCCCCCCCCAAGAAAGAGTTGAAAAGTAACGTTTTAAACCCAAAGTTGAGCCCGTTGGAAGGACAGAGCCCTGAGCCCACTCTAAAGGATGCTCAGAGACATCCAATGCGGCCGGGCTTGGGTGAGTTCAACTGAAGAACCAAACCCAACAATGTCCGGTTCCAACCACGTTTTGCTCAGTACCAGCCAAAAGAAACACAAACGAAACCAGCTGGAATTCCAGGGTCACAATCCCAAGGTTTGTGACGTTCAAACTGGAATTCTGGGGCTGTTTCCGCTGGGTTCTGGGCTGTGACATGCGAGGCCGGCGGAAGGGCCCGGCGGGGCTCTGCTCCCTGTGCTCCCAAAGCTTTGGTCTGGTTTACTGAAGGATCCCCCCCAACTTCCACCCTGTGCTCCCTCCCCAAACGCCAGGAGAAGCCTCTGGAAAAGCTTCCTCCTCCTCCTCCTCCTCCTCCTCCTCGCAGGGTACTCCGGAGGGGAGGCTGGTTTTCCTCACCCCCTCTCCCTCCTGCATCACTTCCATCACACCAGCCAAATGCCGCTTCTCATCCCAACCAGCCGGATCCCTGCTCCCTCCTTCCACAGAGAGGGA